TGCACCACGTCACCGAATACTTTATCTCTGTATCTGTCTCATCATTGTTTGATATCAGGCCTGAATGGTGGCATTGTCAGTGAACTGAGAGATGGAGATTGGACAAAATTTGGCCACGCTGTCATGAGTGTACAGGGAGTACAGTAGGGGGCTGAGTACACATCCTTGCAGGGTGCCGGTGTTGAGGATTGTTATGGAGAAGGTGCTGATGCCTATCCTCACTGACTGCGGTCTGTGGGTTAGGAAGTCAAGGATCCAGTTGCAGAGGGTGAAGCAAAGACTTGGTTCTTGAAGTTTGGAGATTAGTTTGGTTGGGATTGTAGTGTTGAAGGCAGAGCTGCAGTCAATAAGTAGAAGCCTGACGTAGGGATCTTTATTACCCAGACCTTTTGCTTATAAGTTCTGTGTCTGATGCCACCTCTTTCACTGACACCTGAAGAAACAGTGAGACTCTGAAAGCTTGTGTCTTCAAATAAACCTGTTGGACTATAACCTGGAGTCGTGTGATTTTTGAGCACTTCCATTGTGCCTCGTGATGATCGGAATCTGCATTGTGACCTCCTCCCAACTGGCTCTTTAGCCACTGAGTGGGGGTGATTGAGGAGGATGTTTACAATGACCTTACCTGTTGGAGGGAGCAGTGATACCATTCTGTAATTACCACAATTGGTTTAACAACTTTCTTGAAGATGGTCACAATTACAATGTCTCAGATCTTCTGGCATACTCTTCTTCCAATTGAGGGAAATGTGATCATGTATACAAGCCAAGTGTACTTTTCCGCTGTATTTCAGAATTTCAGCAGGGATTCCATCTGCTTCATCAGCCTTGTTAGTTTTCAGCTGTCAGTTGTCCTTTTCAACCTCTTAGCGAGTTGGGGCTATTTTGAGATGGTGTCGAGTGGCATGTGTGCGATGTGCTTGAGGCCATTTACATTGAAGACTGAGTCTCAAAAAAAAACCCAAAGAACTGCTGAAAATCAGAAACAAAATCAGAAAACAACTGGAAAAACTCAGCAGGTCAGGCAGCATCTGTGGAGATAAGTTCTGAAGAAGGATCACTGGACCCAAAACGTTAACTCTGCTTTCTCTCCACAGATGCTGCCTGACCTGCTGAGTTTTTACAGCAACTTCTGATTTACGACTGCATCTTGGCTGATTAGATCCACAGAGCGCCCATTGCTTCTTTGTACTGAGAGAGAACCACTCTGTTCTTAGCTCTCAGTTGGCTCGTTGGGTGCTTGGCCTATAGATAGTCTTGACTGTGCTTAAAAAACCACATACTTCACCTTTTGTTGGTGACTTTTCTTTAGCCGTGGGTTATTAGTTGGAGTTCCACCTTCATTTGTCTGGTATCTTTCACTCGAGAACCGGTGGTGTTCTCAGCTCTGGTCTCCTGCTTCTGATTTAACAGCTCCTTGATCTCTTGGTCATTTGTGTTAAACCCAAAGTGTCATTGCAATTCCTGTTTGAGATGGATTTGAAGGCAGATTGGGCCTTGTGGATCTTCTGTTGTTTATTTTCACCAAGCATTATCAGGTTGACTGTCAGGTGCTGACTTTATAGATCCTTTAGTCTATCAAAATTGATTATGCTGTAACACTGTTTTGCTGCCGCCACCATATTTGGGACAGGCTGATGGAGATAATAGACCAGATGATGTGATGGCCTGTCCAACAGTCATGAGCACTGCCAAATTTACAGGTCATGCAGACATCTCTGTGGTTGCTTGCTCAGAGTGACATAGTCAAGCAGGTCCCAATGTCTGGAGTGAGGGTGTTGTGATGAGGTTTTGTCTTTGTGTCTCTGATGAAGTAGGGTACTCAGATCCACTTACCCGCGTTCTCACCGTATCCCTTAATTCCTTTATTGTTCAAAAAAAACTACCGTTTTTTAAAAAACATTTACTGAAGTAGCGTCAACTACTTCACTGGGCAAGGAATTCCATAGATTAACAACCCTCTGGGTGAAGAAATTCCTTCTCAGTTCAGTCCTAAATCTGCTCCCTCTAATCTTGAGGCTATGCCCTCTTGTCCTAGCTTCACCTGCCAGTGGAAACATCCTCTCTACTTCTATCTTATCTATTCCGTTCATAATTTTATATGTTTCTATAAGATCCCCCCTCATGCCTTGCCAGAAATTTGCATTCATCCAATTCTGACATTTGTAATCACCAAAGAAAATGAAGTTGTCTCCCTTTTGGACACTGTACAAAGGTGGGAGAAGGTTGGGGTAAGTGAAAACTTAAACCACCTTTAACAGACCTCCTTCCTGTTTAATTACAGTGGGCTTGGGCACAGCTGAGTACCCTCCTCTGGAAACTGGTTCGGCAGGTATAATAAGTGAGGTTCTCTTCTTCAGATCATTGGAACCATTTGAATTCAGAATATTTGGAATTGGTTTCCCAGTACGTGGAGCTGCTCGATCCATTAGGTAATGTTTTTCAATGCTGCTTAATGTCCAGAAGGAGTGAATTGTTTCTCTCCCCATAAACCCTGCTACGAATGTGATTCTGTTCTCTTCCCACTACACTCATCCCCCAATGTGGTCCTGTTGTCCAGTTCAGCAGGACCTCGACACTCTTGATGTTTCTTGGCTTCCTGATTACACAAATGGGCTCTCAAACCCTCTCTTTACTTGTGAGGCTGATGTGTTTTGACAATTCTTTGAGGAATTTGTGACATGAGCAGTTTTTGTTTGTTCTCACAACTTTTCACCATTCCTGACTATTCATTTCTATCTTAATTCATTAATTTGAAAAGAAGGTGATGGTGACTAATTCAAGGCTGTTCATTTTACTTTTATGCGTTCTTGGTTTTAACTCATATTTTTATTTCAGTTAAAATGTATGAGTATCAGATTTAAAGATAGATATTTACCACATATAACATTTAATTACGTAATTTATCTAAACTTTTATCAGAATATTCAGAACTTTAAACTTTAAGTGTTTATAATTTGCTTTGGTAATTTTCAGGCATGCAACCCAAGTTTCTACTGAGGAAATGTTGAGGAGAATAGAGAATTGATATTGCTGAGGTAGTTCATAAAATGCATTCACAGCAAACTGTTCCAAACTACATGACAGGCCAAATGGGACCAAATCCAGTCTTGTACAAATATAGACTTTGTAATCTAATTTTAGTTCTCAGTTACCAGTAACCAAAACAGAAAGTGTTTCCCAACTTCTTTATAAATATCCTGTACAATCCATTCCTTGGAATTAAATTGCTTTTCATTGGCTCTTGAAAATATCGTTTTTAAATTAAGAAAACATTGTCATTATGCTGCCAAAACATTGCAATGACAAGCTGACTTGGCACAGTCCAGAGAGCAAACAAAAAACCTTCCTCATTTGGGGTGGTGTGGAATTCCACCAAATAGCACCAGCAATCTTCAGTTTAACCTACTATTGCTTAATTCAATATATTAAGCAAAATATTGTTTAATTTTCACCTATTTTAAAAATTTTGATTTCTAAACTGCATAGAGTTCAGAATTTAACTTTAATGTCATCTTAATGTGATTTAGATATTAATGTTTTGTTGTTGTTGCCATTCCTCAATTTTATTTTTGAAAGAAGAGTATTCAAATTTCAATCACAGATTGTTTGAAATGAAGATTGATGATGTCACTTTGATCGATTGTGGATTGCTGAATTTTATGACAGAATATCATAAAATATCAGAATAGAAGGTTATTCTATTTAAAAAATTGGCTGTACTTTCTTCTCCTTAGAAGTAGCAGGCAGATGGGCAAGTAATCAGGCTAGTGATGCCTGCCACCTTAGCAATTAAGTTTTGGGCAGGAAAGTTGATGGTGACCTTGATCCATAACTGATCAAAACTCTCAGGTGATCAATTAACAGATGTTTAAGGATCTCAATCCACCAACAGCCCATTACCTGCTTTTCCAGTGAGAAAAGTAGGTACCTTCCCAGCAGGGAAACCAGGGTGGCCTATCTGCTAGGTTTTGGTGGGTACTCTATTTGCCCCAAATCTGGGGAAACGGGGGCCATGGATACTGGGTGAATCAGGTGGCCACTAAAAGACATGTTCTCCTTGCGACTCACACCCTGTGGTCTCTCAAGGAAAATCCAGTTGCTTTCTTGCCACTGCAGCCTAGATCTTTAGCGATAATCCTCAGGTCCCAGAGACTGCCAGCTTCTAATTTGCCAACAACATCTGATGGAGCAGAACTTTAGTGTTAATGCTATTGATAAGTAAGAAGCTGACAAGTGAGCTCTTGATTGGAGCTTAATCCGACAGATTTAGTTGTGAAGATACCTGCTAGCATACTCAGTGTGGACACAAAATCTTAGCTATCATATACACTGTGCCTAATGTTAAGGCACAAGTCATTCATTTTGTGAAAGAACATACTCATTTGGTTATGATTTGTCTTTGAATGTCAGTTACATCTTAGTTTATGAGAATAACTAACATTCGATTCCAGTGTTTAGATTGATGACAACAAGAATAAATTATATATTTTGTTCAAAAGAAACACAATAAGAATTTGCAAAGAACATTTCTTGAACTTTCATTACATTTAAACACTTAGGCATAGTTAAATTGTCAGCATGAGCTAAAGTTGGCTTGATTGCACTTCTGCAGCGGTTCAAGAACGCAGCTCACCATCACCTTCTCGAGGGCAACTAGGGATGAGCAATAAATGCTGACCAGCCAGCGATGCCTATGCCCCATGAGTGAAATTAAGAAAACACTACTACTGAAATAACTGTGTAACACAAGAGTTAGAATTACTTCTGGATGCTGTTGAAAATACTGGCAATGCTTGTGGACATGAAAGCGTGGTGACCAAAACTAATTTTATGTGCCAATTTGAGGTAGCAGTCTGTGTTTGACAAGTCATTAATGAAAGCCTGTAATTTAAATGATTTACATTTCTGCCAATTTTTGGTATATACTTGATACATGTAAATACAAATTCAAAAACAATATTGCTATCATTTTAACCTATTCAATTCATTTTCTATAGACAGGTTCAGAAAGGAGCTCAGTGGATGGCCCCCGAACAGACCAAATGGAAGAGGGGTCAACCAACCATGTTGGTGAAAGCAGGTTAAGATTAGAAATGGCACCAAGTCTGGTGAATGGAGTATGTAGTCAAGATGGACATCCCATTGATGTAGAGTCAAGTGAGTGGATGGATAACCAGAGACTCCCTGAACACACCAATGGAAACAACAATCGAGGAACAACTCAATTACTGAACCAAGTTAGGAACCATATCAAGGAAGACCTGGCAACTACTGAGGATACTGTCATCCTGGATGATGCTAGAAAGTTAAGTGCACTCCCTGAAACGGCAGTAAGCATACCTTCATATAATTCACCAGCACAAAACTCTCAGCCTTTACACAGGATTAACTTTACTGAGAAATGTAAGCCAGAGATTAATAACAGCAGTGACACAGTGAATATGAATGATGATTGCCCTCCAAATGATGATTTGAGCACTTTGACCACTGCATGGACCCTTGCAAAAAAATATGGGAAGAAACCACCAAATTGCAATTGTGATGGGCCAGAATGCCCAGATTATCTAGAATGGCTTGAGAAAAAAATAAAAGCTGTTCTTAATGAGGAACAGAATGGGACTTCACAAATCCCTGATAAAATCAGTGATATGCCTGTGGAAAATGGTGCTTCAACGAATCATACACCTACTTTGGAGGAACCATCCATTTTTGATTCCTCTGATGTTCCTCAATATTCTCAGAATGCATTAACCATTGCAAAAGAGAAAAACATAAGTCTTCAGACAGCAATTGCCATTGAAGCCCTTACACAACTGTCATCAACACTTCCACAGCCATTTTTAGAAGCTTCATCACAGATCAACAGCACCTCTCAAATTGGTGATGTCTCATCTAGTTCCATTGAGGAGAACAATGTTGCATTGTCTGCATCTTCTGATGCCATTCAGGACTTGCAAGAAGACCTCAATCATCAGCAAAAGAATAGGCATCCTTCGCTACAAGAACATCCTGGTCAGCAAATGTTCCCAGAATTACACTCTCAAGTGCAAACTCCGTGGGAACCTCTGAAGAAACCAGCACAAATTGAAGCTCACTACATTCCAGCCACGAAAACATTACCGGATCCATTTAACAAATTTACAAATTCAATATCAACTATAAAACAAATGAATGAAGTTTCTGCTCAGAAGAGGAATACAGCCAGTGCTGAAGGAAACATGCCAGTGTTCAATGCTCATCAGCCAGTTACTTCAATAAATGACCCTATGACAGAGTTAAAGCAGCTATTAGATAGTAACAATAGTAACAAACATCCTCTACCATTATTTAGAACACCTGGCTTAACTGTGCATGAAGATGCAGGCGTAAAGACCCAACAAAATTTATCATTGCCATTCTCCAACTTGGTAGCTGGAGTTGAATTTTATGGAATGCAGTCTGAACAACAGTCATCTCAGTCCATGCATCAAAAAGATATGCTTCAAAGAAGCAAACATCAAAAAACACAGGCAGCATTACAACAACATCTACACTATAAACGCAACCTGTTTCAAATGCACAGTCAAAAACAGAACCATCTACATGACCAGCAAAAATGGTGGTCAAAACATCAGCCAAATCTAAAAAGGCAGAAACAAAAGAAACCAGTACACGAAAAGAAGAAATTACAACCAATATATAAGCAGCGTAAAGAAACCCAGCTTCAAAAGACACAAAATATTCAACAGCAACTCTTCTTGCTTCAACTTCAACAAATGCAACAAAAGAAATTGCAGCAAAGTCTGCAGCATCAATCATTACCTCAACAGAAACAGGTCTTTGGATTCCAGCAAATGGAAAAAATACAGAATAATTATGAAATAGGGGAACATGAAGCACAGTTACTGCCACAACAGCATCTTCTTAAGGAACAGGAATTACAGAGAGCACTTCAACCAACTTTTGAAGTTTCCCAGCAGAAACAACCAGATAACAGTGAGTCATCAATTACTCAGGAGACTCCCACCTTTAACAGGTCAGTGTCAAAGGAAACATACAGATCTCAACCAGATTCTTTCTTATCTAATCAAAACATTGAAAAATATCCACAATCAACTCAACTGACGAATAGCCTTTCCAAATATGCAGATGAGAAAGATCCACATACTAATTCAATCTCCTTACCTATTCAAACACAACAAAATGATGTACCAGCACATAGTCCTCACTCTTTTGAGGAAAAAATTGAGGAACTCTTAAAACAATTTGAAGCTGAATTTGAATCAGGCTCTACATCACAGCAACTCCAATTTACTCCTCAGAATAACTCAGCATCTCAGGGAGAACCAAATGAAAACCAGACACCTTCCACTGACTCTCAGTTTTCATTTCGCAATCAATCTAGTGATTCAGACCAGAGTAATCAAATTTTGTTTTCTCGAAAAAGTCCGTATCATGAACAACACGAGTGCAAACTGACCAGTACAAACAACAAAACCAATTCCAGTTTACAGGATAGTACAAAATGTTGTAATGACACTTTTTTGACTGGATACTCAAAACACATGAAAGTTGAAAGCTCTGGTGCTATTACAGTATTGTCAACAGTTTATTCTGGAGAAAATATCGAGGGATCTTCAGAAGGCACTCCTACAAAAAGTACACCACTCACCCCTTCCCTCAGTGGCTTTTTGGAATCTCCTTTAAAATATTTGGATACCCCAACTAAAAGTTTGCTGGATACCCCATCAAAAAAAGCCCAAATGGAATTTCCATCATGTGATTGTGTTGGTAAGTTTCAAAAGGATCATCTTGCTTCATTTTATGAAATAAATTTAAGTACAATAAGTTTAGAAAAGGTAGGGAAGGGAATAAGAAAGGTGGGTGGCAGTACTGATTTGGGAATTATGTTGGAATGAGGGCATGTGTTAGTCTCTGCCTGGATGACAGGATTGTAGCTGAGCTGCATTTTCCTTTCCCTTTGGTGTGTGACACAAAATGTGCAGCATGTCAGAAAGTAGATAATTGCATATTGTGTATCACTGTTCAAATCTATACTCAAATCTTTATGTTTCCCTGTGCTTCTGAGGCTTTGCCATTAAATAACCTCTTCAACCACAGAAGTCAAGAATTTCTGATTTTCAGTGAACGTTTTGGTGATTGACAAATAGGATGAAAGACACACAAATACACTCTGAATATCAGATGATGGTCAATATAAATTCTAAACCATTACACAGTAGTAGTCACATATTTTAGATCATAATAAATGTCAAAAAATACCATTTGCCTCCTTTCCTTCAGTAATACAAAATATTCAGAAAGTTTCCATTTCATTAATTATTAATAACTACTTATTCCGTCCACACAGACATTTCAAAGAAGATCGTGAAACAATGGAGAAATCCATCACCATTACAACAACTGTGCATTTCTGTTATTTTTTGATAAGCTTTTATTGTGAAAAATAAAAGAACAAAGAACATTTTATGACTGAGTTTAGTAAAATATTTTGTGAGGGTTCAAGGTGGGTTGCTGGAATGTGGAATTGATGGAAGAGCCTTCATAAATTTGAAATTATTTGTCTCCACCCACCCATTTAAAAAAAATACATCAGTCAGTATTACGGGTTATTTTGCAGCTTGGTCTTCAATCCAACTCATAACCTGAGAAAACACTTTTAAGCAGGATCACGTTGCCTGCACATCCCACTCCTAAAAGGCAGTGAACTTCAGTCTTGGTTTCATTCATGGTGAGTTTACATTAGTCTGATATGGCAAAATCTTAATATCGAACTTTATTTGGGCCTAATGATAAAACCTCTGAACCAATCTGACTTAACCTAGTATTATAATTTTGCTAATAAAGCACATTTTATGGATGGTTTTTGTCTTGCTGTCATGTACAAGGGGAGGAAATGGCCGAGCAGTATTATCGCTGGACTAGTAATCCAAAGATCCAGGTAATATTCTAGGGACCTGGATTCAAATCTCACCATGGTAGATTCAATAAAAGAAAATCTGGACTTAAGAGTCTCATGGTGATCATGAAACTGTTGTCGATTACTGGGAAAAACTCATCTGGTTCATTACCTGGTCTGGCTGACATACGAGTCCAGACCCACAACATTGTGGTTGACTCTTAACTGACCTTTGGGCAATTAGGTATGTGCAGTAAATGCTGGCCTAGCCAGTGATGGCCACAACCTGTGAATGAGTTTTTAAAAAAACAAAGGGAGGGGAAGATAAGATTTATAATGTATGGGAAAAGAATGCAAATTAGTCTGCAAGTAGACTTTGGTGGAGGTGTTGCCATGGAGAATGAATTCCTTAATAAAAAGCCATTGTTAACCAACCAAACAATGCTTGCCAAGCTTATAACAGTGTCTACCATATGTGATTGGACAACATTTGTGAAACAGTCCCGTGCCAGTTAGGCTGACAAGTGTGGTGCACTTGCATGTACTAGAAGCTGCATATTATTAACTATGACCTCGGGCCCTGTTTTTTTGCAGACAGTAAAAACATGTATGCATACAGTTTAACTTGACAAAATTAGTGACAGCGGCTCTCTGGTTCATTTCTCAGGACAATGCATTGACCAGAGTCAACTGGCCTGGTTTAAAGTTTAAACCAAGTTTGGCATGTAACATGATCTGTCATTATTAACTGCTCCGTTCTCGCATCAACGCCTTATCAATCAGAGTTAACTTGCTAATCAATTAGGACTTTCTTCTCATAAAGGATAAATGTTCTTTTCCCCCTTACTTTGGCATTTCATACAAATTGTTTTGATTAGTGTTAAGACAAAAAGTTTTTTTCAGCAATACTCAAATTCTGCACTACCAAAAATCTATAGGAATTTAACAATTTTTAAATCACAATATTAAAGAAAATTTGGGGAAATTCAAGCAGTCCTCTATTAAGTCACATTAGGATATTATACTAACTGGGTCAGTCTCGAATCAGGATGGAATATGGTAGAAGTGGGTAAGGTTCCAGCTAGTAAAAGATTGTGGAGGCATTTCTTTCATTGTAAGGTGTTTCTTTCTCACATATAACGTCACTCAGTGCCTACACTTTTCAGTGTAACTAAAGTTTTCCGTGCACGCCATGTGATGAAAACTGTAATCAAACCGTATCAGAAAGGAGTACAGTTGAAACGTAGTTTTGACCTCCCATATATGTCGTAGAGTCATAGAGTAAAACAGCATGGAAACAACCCCGTCAGCCCAAATTGATCCATGCTATCAATGATGCCCACTCAGCTAGTTCCTATTGCCCACATTTGGTCCATATCCCTCTAAACCCTTCTCATCCGTGTATCTATCCAAATGTCTTTTCAACCATCTTCTCCAGCAGCTCATTCCATATACGTACCACTCTCTGCGTGAAGAAGTTTCCCCTCAGGTCCTTCTTTAAATCTATCCCCTCGCACCTGAAACCTTTGGCCTCTAGTTTTCAATTCCCCATCCCTGGGAAAAAAGACTACCTGCATTCATCCTATCTATGTCCCTCATGATTTTATACATGTCAATAAGGTCACCCCTCATTCTCCTACGTTCCAAGGAATGAAGTCCTATCCTGGCTTACTTCTCCCTTTAACTCAGGCCTACTAGCCCTGGCAACATTCTCATAAATCTTCTTTGCACACTTTCCAGTTTAACTATGTCTTTCCTATAACAGGGTGACCAAAACTGTACGCAATACTCCAAGTGCGGCCTCACCAATGACTTATACAACTGTAACATAACCGCCCAACTCCTGTACTCAATGCTTCGACCATGAAGGCCAGCATGCTAAATGCCTTCTTGACCACCCTGTCCACCTGTGACGCTACTTTCAACGAACTATGTACTTGTATTCCTAGGCCCCTCTGATTCGGAACACTCCTCAGGACCTTACTATTTACTGTATCAATCCTGTCTTGGTTTGACTTTCCAAAATGCAACACCTTACGCTTATCTGTACGCCATATTGTTCACAACACTGTGCTTCCCTTGTGGATAAAGTATGTGCTCTGAATGTTAACTTTGTGTCTCATCTTGCTCCTAACGGTTGGAGAAATGAAGATTTAGAGGGACAGTGATAAAGCAAGTAAGCAAAGCAAAGAGAGGATATGAAAATAGAATGGCAACTACACCAGTCAATTTAATGTCAGTTTAAGATCTAGAAATAATAATTTGAGACAAAATTAATAGCCACATCGACAAATGTAAGTTAATTAAGGAAAGCCGACGTGAATTTCTTGAGGCAATGTCATATTTAACTAACTTAGTGAAGTTAGTTAACAGAAATAGTTCATCAGAGTGCTGACACTGATGTGCTACATGTGGACTCCCAGAAAGCATTTGATACACTGCCACACAACTGGCATGTGAAAACAGCTAGAGCTGTTGGAATAAAAGGGCCGGTAATAATTTGGAAACAAAATTGGCTTAGTGATAGGAAAGAGAGAGCAGTGGTTAATTGATATCTTTTCGGCTGGGGATGGTTTGTAGTTGATCCCCCCAGGAGTCCGTATCGAGACCCTTTTTTTGAAATGTATTAATGATCTAGCCCCTGGGGTACAGGGCAAAATTTCAAAATTTGCAGATGATACAAGAATTAGAAGTATTGAAAACTGTGAGGAGGATCATGTGGAACTTCTAAAGGGCATAGATAGATTAGTGGTGGATAAAGTTAAAAGTGGAGATGTATGAGGTGATAGATTTGGTAGGAAGAGCATGGACAGACAGCATAAAGTAAAGAAACCAACTCTAAAAGGAATGTAGGAGCAGAGCAATCTGAATTCATATGTGGGTACATCATTAAAGATGGTAGGACAGATTGTGAGCAGTTAGAAACCACTCATTGCATGAAAACGTTTTTCCTTAGAGCCCTCTGTCTTCTTTGATGAACTACATTAAATCTGTGCCCTCTAGTTCTCAATCCTGTCATGCATGGGAACGTTTTCTTTCTATTTAATCTGTCCAGACTTCTGAAGGTTTTGAATACTTCAATCAGATTTGATTTGATTCATCACTGTCATGTGTACCGAGGTGCAGTGAAAAGTGTTGTCTTATGTGCTTTACAGGCAGATTGGACGATATAAGTTTATCAGTGTAACAGAACAGAGTGCAGGATACAGTGTTACAGCTGCCGAGAAGGCGCAGAGAGATCAACATTAACATAAAAGCGATCTATTCAAAAGTCTGATAACAGTGGGGAAGAAGTTGCTCTTCTTCTCTGTCTTCTCTTTTCCAAGGTGAACGGTCCCAGCTTCTCCAGTCAATGTTCACAACTCAAATTTCTCATCCCTGGAACCATCCTTGTCATCCTCTTCTGCACTCTTTCCAGTGCCTTCACATCCCTTCTGAAGTGCAATGCCCAGAACTAGACACAATAATTCAAGTTATGTCAAACAATGGTGTATTATATGCGTTAAACGTAATGTCTTGCTATTGCTCCTGGTGCCCCTATTAATAAAACCCAGGATACTGTATGTTTTATAAACTGCTCTCAATCTGTCCTAACATCTTTGTAACACATCCACATACAAAAATACAAGTATCCTGTCTGGTTCTTCATCTACCTTATCTCCTTATCCTACCATTTTCAGGGATCTTTTGACGTGCCGTCCTGTACACTTGTAACCTCCTGGCTTGTTTACCCTCCTCAAATGATTTCCCTCACAGTTGTCTGCATTGATTCCATTTGCCACTTTCCTGCCCACCGGCTGAATCCATCGATGTCTTCCTGCAATATGCAACTTTGTTCCTCACTATCAACCATAACATCAATCTTTGTAAC